CAGGTGCAGTACAGGTGCAGTACAGGTGTAGTACAGGTGCAGTACAGGTGTAGTACAGGTGTAGTACAGGTGCAGTACAGGTGTAGTACAGGTGTAGTACAGATGTAGTACAGGTGTAGTACAGGTGTAGTACAGATGTAGTACAGGTGTAGTACAGGTGCAGTACAGGTGTAGTACAGGTGCAGTACAGGTGTATACAGGTGTATACAGGTGTAGTACAGGTGTAGTACAGGTGCAGTACAGGTGTATACAGGTGTAGTACAGGTGTAGTACAGGTGCAGTACAGGTGCAGTACAGGTGTATACAGGTGTATACAGATGTAGTACAGGTGTAGTACAGGTGTAGTACAGGTGTAGTACAGGTGTAGTACAGGTGTAGTACAGGTGTAGTACAGGTGTAGTACAGGTGTATACAGATGTAGTACAGGTGTAGTACAGGTGTAGTACAGGTGTAGTACAGGTGCAGTACAGGTGTCACCTGTCTCCAGACGCAGACAGCAGGTGGCGACAGTCGGAGCTGAACTTCAGACTCGTCACAATCTCTGAAACAAAACACCAGAAACATCAGTGAGGTCACAGGTCACGGTGAGGTCACAGTGAGGTCACGTTGAGGTCACGGTGAGGTCATGCTGAGGTCACAGTGAGGTCACAGTGAGGTCACGGTGAGGTCATGCTGAGGTCACAGTGAGGTCACAGTGAGGTCATGGTGAGGTCACGGTGAGGTCATGTGTCTCTGGATAAAACTTTTAAAATGTTTCACTCTAAAACTTTTCTCCAGTGACAGAAATTTACACATCATATTATTACACAACAGTACTTGTAGTAGTAGTAGTAGTAGTAGTAGTAGTAGTAGTACTTGCAGTACTTGTACCTGAGTGTCCGTACATGGTGGCCACACACTCTCCGCTGCAGAAGTCGAAGATGCTGATGTTTTTGTCTGAACAGGAAGTGGCGACGAAGAGTCCGGACGGATCAATCTGGACCTGGACCCAGAGGAAGACGAGGGTCACGTAAAGCTTCACTGCGGGACATTTCCTGACAGTAGAACAGTTAAAGCTTCACTGCGGGACATTTCCTGACAGTAGAACAGTTAAAGCTCCACTGCGGGACATTTCCTGACAGTAGAACAGTTAAAGCTCCACTGCGGGACATTTCCTGACAGTAGAACAGTTAAAGCTCCACTGCGGGACATTTCCTGACAGTAGAACAGTTAAAGCTCCACTGCGGGACATTTCCTGACAGTAGAACAGTTAAAGCTCCACTGCGGGGCTTTCAGAGGTTCTGACCTTGATGAGTGTTCCGTCTTCTCCCTGGGAGCCTCGGAACATCCGCTTCTGTTTCCCGTTACTGATGTTAAAGATCCTGGACACAAAACAGTCAGATGCGATTGCAGTACTCTGCAGTACTCTGCAGTACTCTGCAGTACTCTGCAGTACTCTGCAGTACTCACCGTATACTGCGGTCCTGACAGCCCACGGCCGCGTACTTCTTCGTCGGCTCGATGTCCATGTCGTACAGAGTCGTCTTCCTCACGACGTGATGAGTCCGAGAAAACTGTAGCCCCTCCTCCGTCTGAAAGAAACCAGGACTGAACCAGGACTGAACCAGGACTGAACCAGGACTGAACCAGGACTAAACCAGGACTAAACCAGGACTAAACCAGGACTGAACCAGGACTAAACCAGGACTGAACCAGGACTGAACAGGACTGAACCAGGACTGAACCAGGACTAAACCAGGACTGAACCAGGACTAACCGGGACTAAACCAGAACTAAACCAGGACTAAACCAGGACTGAACCAGGACTAAACCAGACTAAACCAGGACTAAACCAGGACTAAACAGGACTAAACCAGGACTGAACAGGTCTAAACCAGGACTAAACCAGACTACTGAACCAGGACTGAACTAAACCAGGACTAAACCAGGACTACTGAACCAGACTGAACCAGGACTAAACCAGGACTAAACCAGGACTAACAGGACTAAACCAGGACTAAACCAGGACTGAACCAGGACTAAACCAGGAACAGGTCTAAACCAGGACTAAAACCAGGACTAAACCAGGACTGAACCAGGACTGAACCAGGACTAAACAGGACTAAACCAGGACTAAACCAGGACTGAACCAGGTCTAAACCAGGACTAAACCAGGACTAAACCAGGACTGAACCAGGACTAAACCAGGACTGAACCAGGACTAAACCAGGACTGACTAACCAGGACTACCAGGACTAAACCAGGACTGAACCAGGACTGAACAGGACTAAACCAGGACTAAACCAGGACTAAACCAGGACTGAACCAGGACTAAACCAGACTAACCAAACCAGGACTAAACCAGGACTGAACCAGGACTAAACCAGGACTAAACCAGGACTAAACCAGGACTAAACCAGGACTAAACCAGGACTAAACCAGGACTAAACCAGGACTGAACCAGGACTGAACCAGGACTAAACCAGGACTAAACCAGGACTAAACCAGGACTAAACCAGGA